ATAAGGTTACACATACCGATCAACATGTTCTGGTAGGCATTGTCAGCCACAGAGAACAAGTGAGGCGGCATTTCCTGACGCCTCTTGCCACGGTACATGGCCACAACCTCCTCCGTGTAGAGAGGAAGACGCCTGAAGGGGTTGATCACGACGCAGAACAACCCGGAGTAGGTCTGGAGTAAAAGTAACAAGAAATAATACTAGTAAGTGCAGGTCGATTACATAGAAACCATTCACACACTGGGGGTTTATGTAGGTTACAATTTTGTGTTGTACTTTTTCTTCTATTCTCTTAAGCTGATGTTTCGTCCTGACAACTTTTATTTCATACATCGGGTTCATGCCGATCCATATGTCACGTCAAAATGGTGGCCGGATCATAATTTCAGTGAAACCGATGTAGCAAACACGATTGAATTGCAACAAGCAATTTGTCACTCAGGAATGCCAGTGCTACTAGTGATGGAAGACCACTTTGTTTGACACTCGTAATAAAATTGCTACAAGCAAAGATGGGAAAATCTCGACTTTAAAATGTGTTAAAGGTTTATTTTTTTATTAGACCGATCGCTCTTGAAAACGGACTGGAAATACGCTTTTGATTGATTAGTCATGTCTTTTTTCATTGAAGAAGTATCGCCATGTGTCCGATGGCACCATGGGGTCATGACTGGTATGCCCTAGAGGTTATTCCTGTCATAGAATGTCCGCCGCATTCTTTTCTTTCTGTCTGCACTCTTGCTGCCGGATGTCGACCCACGTCAACCTTTTTTTTCGAGAGGGGTCGTACAGTTTTTTTTCATTACAGTTTCATTTCTGCCTTTATTAAGGAGTGTGTGTTGCGAAAGATCATTAGACAGCAGGTGCGTTAACTGATTAACACGCCGCATTTCTGCTTCAAATCTTCGAGTCATGTGCCTTATCCTCGATACTAGATACATTCGTACCGTCAGTTATCACTGCCTATTCTTAAATCCAAAGTCAATCGACAGTCTTTTCCGTGAAATGAACTTTGGATGGCTCAACTTTTTGGTCTTTTTAAGTCACTACTTACATAGATCATTCCATTAGCATAACGGTCCCTGAGGGTCGCCAGCACGGAGGCGTCGTTCAGGTAGGTCATGTTGGCCATGTCCTCGCAGCAGACGAACTTGGAGGGGTTCATCATCACCAACTTGTCCTTGGGATAGTCCTTGGTCTGTTGGGACAAAGTGAGGTGTTAACGGTTTGATTTGTAGCTTCAAGAAATGTGTATGTAAGCAAGCCAAATAGAAAAGTGAAGAAACCAGTACTTTAATGATATACATCTATGATAGAACATTTTGCCGTCGTAGATTTAGATTCATGTTTTTATTCGTTTTCTTTTATCCATGGTAATGTCACCAGAGCATATTCATACCTGCCTTTATTTTTCAATGTAATGGAATATGGATATTAAATGTGTAAAATATAAGATATCACATCAAACTTGGCATTGCTTATTTTTGTAGGCATTCCACTGTAGCGTTTACACGATGGTGCTAAAGACAGCTGAGCAGTTCCATGCCCTTTCGGCTATCGGGTCAGCCATCGCTATTTTAGGGTTAATAGTTATCCGGACCTCAGCAGAAATGACGAACAGGATCCTGCCGGGGGCATCTATGGTATGTGGGGCTCTCTTTGCTGCAATTTTGCTGCCTTTCAACGCTCAGCTAACTTCCTTTTTTTATTGGTTTTCGTTTCTGGCGCTGCCTTAGATTCAGGCGGATTTTGGTACGTTTGTTGAGCGGTATGTTAGAACTCCAAGAGAGAGAAAGCTGTGTCTCCAACCGCCATGCGTCCGATCCCCATGCCCGCGGATGATGATTGATTGCTAACGAGCTTCATCCATTTTAGATTTACAGTGAACTTTTGTCCTACACTCCCCGCAGTAGATGCCATACGCCGTAACTTACAGAACAGTTGTGGAACAAAGTTTACTTTGTATTCTTGTAGTTTCTCGAAGTTGTCCATGAGATTAGCTCAAAAGGCAATGTTCTCTAAGTTCAAGTTCAAGTAAGGGGATGTTGATTTAGAATTTGCATCACTGACCGATGGATGGCCTTATGAGGGAACACACAAGTACATAGTAAATAAAAGTGAAAGTCAAGTGAAAGTGAAGTTACCTGGCCCTTGGGCAGCTGGACCGTGACCTTGTCGCCCTTCTCCTCCTTGACCTCCACGGCGATGAACACCTCCTTCTCATCGGGAGCCCAGACGTTCTTCTTGGGGTCGAAGGGTGCGGAGCGGAGCTCCATCAGCAACTTGGTGTCACCGAAGATGTAGACCCGAGGGTCGTCGGAGATCTTGTCGGTCTTGGGCGGCATCTTGGCTCTGGTTCCTCTTGGCTAAGGATCCTGCAGGAAGGAGTGGCACGCCGACTGGGCTGAACGGGAGAGACAGAAGATGAGTCCGACGAGCTACAGCTACAGGGCGAGAAAAATCCAATCATAAAGTTCATTACCAAGTAGATTCAAAACCATGCGGTAAATTTTTATACAAATAAATTCTCATGCAACACTCCTGTCACAAGGCCATTTCCCCTCTCCTTCTAGAGCAATGATGGAAGCATTGACCCAACCTACCGCCCCTCTCCTAAGTTCCTCAGCAAAACATGCCATCGGGCTTAACATTTGAAACACTTGAAACATGCTTTCGCTCAAAACATTGCATTTGAACCAAATTTCATGCCTGGAATGACTTTGACTATTAACAGAGCATACACGTGCAACGAAAGCTTAAAAAAAGCCCTACATTATGCTAGAATTAAAAGTTTCAAGGGAAAAACATGCCACGCTCTCTACCTTTCGGTTAGAAGCTGTCGGAGTAGAAACTAGAGAGGTTGGAGCCTTTATATCTGGGTGAACTGCCAAAGTAATCACATTCATGTCATTCTGCAAGACCAGTGTTCATTTTCTATTCCTCGTCCTCTGATTGATCGAGAGCGTGCAGAAACGACATTGCCATTGGTCCTTGGATTTAGACTACAGATGACGCGAGGGAACAGGTGCTTATTATATATTCTGTCGAAGCAACAGAAAAATAGAACATGAACTTTTGCTTACCCTTACGATAACTTGCAAAAAGATGACTGACTTCAGATGTCTTACTCTAGGATTTTCAAGCGTTTGTGTAGATTCGAAATGAAATTGGCCAAAGTCACTGCTGATGTACAAATACAAATGTCTATATAGCTTCAGTTTGCAAAGGAAGATATATATTTTTTTAAATTATTTTTACTTCTTTACAAGGGAAAGTGAATAAAGAGGTGGTAAGGTCAGAAATGCCGTTAGTGAACCAGACTACTTTTAAAACCTGTAAATAGTTAAACGGTGATGTTAAGTGTGCTGATCGCATCTGCAGCTGACAATTGCCCATCAGTTGGCGATTCGTCCGTCAGAAACGCGCATAACTTCAGAAATAGCCGGCTAGAAAAAACACGCACGAAGGCTAGGAAAACATTCAAGTCGGCCGGGAAAACATACATCGCATTTTTCTGTCATGAAAAATACATCGCATTCTTGTCCCTTCAATCCCCCGCTTGTATCTGTAGAAGCGCGTCTGGCTTTCTGATGCTCCTTTGCACTTGGCTTACCTCCTTCATATTGAACTCATTCAAGTATCACCCAGCGAAGCAAAGTCAAGTTTAAACATAGTAGACGAGATGCCACCCGGTGTGAGTACACATCTTGATAGATCTTTGGAAGTTCAACAAGTAATGTGATACAAAATCTTATGCTTATACCATATATAACTTAAAGTTTTGAATGCGTGTGCATATAGTTCTTTAGATGTAGGCATAGTCGCGCCTAGCGTAAACGTTATTAATGCATATCTATGACGTTATAGCTTGATGATGTACTTTTTCTGATTTTCCTATCTGAAACTTAGCTTTTAAACTTACGAATATTCTTAATGTGCGGATGGCCTTGGCTTGCTATGTGCAGTTGACCACGCCTTATGTCCACAATCCACTTTATGGAAAGTGTTAAACAAATTCGTCCTAATGCATTCTAGTCTACCAGGTGACCTTCAGCTTGAAGAAAATCGTTTTGGTTGAAAAATTGTTCAAAATGAATATCTTGAGCAGATCATTTCTTAAATTCTTCAAAGTCAGCCGCCCTAAAATAGAGAAGCTTGGCGCGTTTGACGGATGCTGGTATTTGCTGATCATTTATATCTGACACGTCATGACTGATAGGTAACACGTTTTTGCATAGTTAGACCAAATTCAAGACCAGATTTAGATGAAAAATCCTATAGGACCTGTAAAATGATGTCACTATGGAGACTTTGTTCTAAGATTTGTCTTCTTGCAAAGATGAACCTATGTATCACTTTACAACATCGGGAAGAGCAATACCTGTTACGAGGTAGCTTAACCAGTAGTAACGAGGATATTTTTTTTCAGTTTGATGTTTTTTCCAGAAACGTTTCTCATTGCAAAGTTTCTTTTCCTTTGCACTGTCTAGTGTACAGTTATATCGTTACAGATTCGCTGATACTCTGACCATACAGGTGATCGTTGTGCTATCGAGCCGACTATTAGCAAGTATAAAATATCACTGAGTTCAAGGCAATGCGTTTTAAGCCTGTGCCCTTCCAAGTCGCCAATAGCTGACACTGACATACCTCGTGACCTATAAATGTCGAGTGGTAACCCGATATCTGTCAAGTCATTTGCTGATGACCATCATATATGACCATCATTCCAATGTAGACAGGCTGCGTTTCTTTGCTATCAAGAACAGACTTGTCTGAAGGTTGGTTTTGACACCCGCGATGTTTTTATGCAGGCCACTGGATTACACTAGGAAGCAGAAGAAAGTTGGACCTAGCTCACGTAGAAGGCAATGGGTAAGCTGTACAGTACATAGATGAACTATGTACCATCATTCCAATGTAGACAGGCTGCGTTTCTTTGCTATCAATAACAGGCTTGTCTGAAGGTTGATTTTGACACCCGCGATGTTTTTATGCAGGCCACTGGATTACAAAGCAGAAGAAAGGAGGACCTAGCTCACGAAGAAGACCATGGTTAAACTGGATATACGTACAGTACAGTACATAGATGAACTGACCACAACGCCATGCAGTGAAGGAAGGGTGCGGTGGAAGGGATGGTGGCAGGTGGCGACGATAATGGTGGTTGCATCTACGAAATGACGGAGGGACGTTACGCTCCAGACTTGAGGTATGTAACGTTTGTTGAATTGTAACCGATTGGTGTGACAAGAACTAGTATTAGAAACCATTCTTTAAGAAACATGCTCTTCAAGTGTGTGTCTCTTCCCCTTGTGGAAAGTTAATATTTGCCAAACGCGCGAAGTAGACAGTTTACATTACATCCTCAGTTTTCCGTCTGGCAGACATCCAGCGACCCACTTCTGCAGTGTAGCTTCGGTGCCATTGTTAAGGCCTTTGTATCACCGTGTTTTATAGCCTTTGTAGCATATACCTGCCCACATGGACAGTTATCGGTAATACATGTTGATCAATGGTCGGCATTACTAAACGATGTATTAATTAACGCCAATGGTTAGGTCGTTTGCTGGTCCAAATCGTCTTCGTGAGCCCGCTGGGTCATAAATCTGTTTATTAATAAGCTCCATTGTTGTAGTTTATTTCTTGTAAGCTCCTTCGGTGTAGTGTTTTCGTTGTTCCTCTCAGTGAATAGGTGGGTGCTTCTCCACATTATTTTAGAATCCTTCTATGTACATACCTTTAATTTTCTTCTATCCATGATCAACTAGGATCGATCAAGTCCATGCCTTTTATTTGCCTGTGCATTACTACTTAAGTAATGATTTTGCCGCTTTACGAAGTTATCTTACTTACTTATCTTCTTTATCTTCTTCTTTATCTGTTGGTAGTTATTGCTTCTACTGCTTCCATCGTTGGACTTTAGTCCCAACGTCTGCAGTTCCATCTGTCTCCTGACTTGTGTAAGTTATGATGGTGCCTCAATGGCCATATGTCGACCTATACCATGAGCTTACGCACAGGCCTCCGATTTACAGGCGTTAGAAGGTGGATAGGCTTAAGGTTCAGCTTCCAGACTTTAAATGCTGGTTAGAGTTCTTGAAAGTTCTAATATACTTGATATCACTAAAAGCTCTTATATACTTGATATTACTCTAAGGCACCATTCCTTACACTAGACTGACCATGACTACATGTTATCGACCAAGCAGTAGCTACAGTATGTAATTCATAGTAGGAAACAAAAGAATGGATCCGACAAGTCTTATTTTTGTTCAAAGAAGTTTAATCAGTATCAAATGCAACGACGCAACCATACACGTCACAAACCATACATTTCCCAAACGCATCTCTAAGACTACTTAGTGGTCCCGGAAGAGATACACGTACATATACACCATTGCCTTCCCGGATGCTTCCACGGTCAACTGGTCGACGGTTGACGTTAGATGTTGGGATGGTAGACTATTCCTCTCACCGATCCCAATCCCAAATCCGTGACTTTTTCAATGTAATTCTAATAGCTTTTACCGTATTTATCAATAATTTCACTGGACGAACAGCACATGTACAGACGTGAATAGTTAGCGGCTTAAATTAAAGTTGGTTGTATTCTTGTACAGATATGTCGGTTGGCTGTAGGTCCTTTGCTTTCACATGTTTCACAGACGGATAAGACTACAACTAGATGACATTACGTTACACAGTGTTGCTGTTTAGACCATGGTGACGTTATGCATTACAATACACTGTAGCGATCAGTTCAATACCTCCCCCAGCGATACTCCGGTCTAGGTGCTGTGTCAGTAAAAAGAGTGCGTGCGTTGGGGCCCCTAGACGTGGCACATCGCTGGTAAAGTGAACGAATCACAGAGAACAGTCGTACTGGATTTTTTGTTTCAAGTCTTGTACAGTCGGTTACTTATGCTACCATGGTTTACAGTGGACGAAGTCCAGGTTTCTACTTGTGCTGCAAAAATGAAAAAAAGAGCATAATAAGATCATCAGTCCCAACGAAGCATTCCAATACATCAATAAAGAAGAAGACGAGTTCTTGAATGTTAGAATAAACCTCATGTCACATAGCTATTTTGAATAAGGAAAAGGGCCAAGTCTAGCGACTTACTGCGGAGCGGTGCTGGGCGCGCATCTTGCCCAGGGCGGACTCAGCCATCTCGGCCCTCTCCTGGGCATCCTCCAGATCGTGCTGGGTCTTGCGCCACTTGGCCAGGTTAACGTTGGCCTGCTCCTCCTGTAAATAGATACATATGACGATTGAAACATTATCAGTGATAGTGAGGAGCCTCCCCATCAATCCATCAATAGTGTTGTCTACATTCTGACTGGTAAAGCGATTGTTGTAGCTAACAAGTGGATAGTGCGTTAGAATATTCGTTTAAAAGGTTACGTACGGCGTCCTCCACTTGTCTCTTGTAAGTCTTGATCTTCAGTTGCAGCTTCTCGACCATCTCCTGCATGCGCTCCTCCTTCTTGCGGTCCTCGTCGGCCTGGAAGCTCAGCTCCTTGAGACGGCGCTCGTTCTTCCTCAGGTTCTTCAGCGTCTCCTGGTGGCGCCTCTGCTCGGTGTCGAGTTCGGACTCCAGGTCACGCACCTGTGTTCATAAAACATTGGTCATCCCAACAAGTGGACGTCTAGTGTTAGTAACAAGCAACACAGTGAGTTCTTCGTTATAAGAAGAAATACCCACAAGATAATAACATTTTACCCTTTCAAGTTAATGGTCTTACCTTGGCCTCTAGCTTCTGCAGTGCGCGCTTGCCACCCTTCATGGCGATGGCCTCAGCCTCGTCCAGTCTCCTCTGCAGGTCCTTGATGGAGGCTTCCAGGTTCTTCTTGCTCTTCTCGATGTGAGCGGTGTGTTCTTGTTCCTGTTTCAGGTCTTCTGAGATACGTGCCGCATCAGCAATGGCCTTCTTTGCCTTCTCCTCGGTCTGCCTGTGCTCAGCCATAACCTCGTCCAGCTCAGCCTGCAGGGTCTGGATCTCACCCTCCAGCTTCCTCTTGTGGCCAGCCAGAGAGGTGTTCTGTGCAGACAGCTCGCCGACGCGGTCAGAAGACTCCACAAGCTCGGCCTCGGTCAGCTTGCGTGCCCTCTCGGCCTGGTCCAGGGCATTGCGGAGCTCTTCAAGCTCAGCCGTCAGCATGTTGGAGCGGCGCTCGGACATGGCGAGATGCTCGCGGGCCTCCTCACGTGCCCTCTGTTCGTCGTCGATTTGAGCCTGGACTTCCTGAATCTGGTTCTGGAGCTTGTTGATGGTCTTCCTGGCCTCGTTGTTGGCCTTTGTGGCATTTTCCAAGGCGGCTTCGACCTCATTCACATCAGCCTCCAGCTTCTTCTTGGCCCTGACAGCCTCGTTCCTGCCCTTGGCCTCAACGTCCAGGGTGGTCTGCAGGGCATCCAACGCCCTCTGGTGGTTCTTGCTGTAATAATGATAATTACGAACATGACATTGTGTTTAGAATGTGTGTTATAAGTAAATGTGGCATGGGATATACACTGCAATTTATAGACATAACTCAGTTTCTTTGAAATGTATATATTGACAGAACGATGTTCAGAGTGGACTCTTTCTGAAAGCATTTAATTACCGGGTGTTCTCGAACTCCTCGTCCTTCTCGGCCAGCCTGCGGTCGATGTCAGCCTTGAGCTGAGACAACTCGAGCTGGACACGCAGGACCTTGCCCTCCTCCACTTCCAGTGAACCCTCTGCCTCCTCGAGGGCGGTCTGCAATTCCTCCTTCTCCACCTCCAGACGCTTCTTGGCCTTCTCCAGCTCGTGGACTGTCTTGCCGCTCTCGCCAAGATGGTCGGTCAGCTCGTGGATTTCATCTAAGATGAAGTTGAAATAGACGTGCATTTTATGGTTAGTTTCCACGTATATCGTACGTAATGTGTGCAGAATGAAATTAAGGCCCAAAATAAACTGAGGTGAGGTGTGGTCCCTTAAGGCAAGTCAGGCAGGTGAGGTAAAAGAAAAGATAGTTTAGCTGATTGTCTTGACAAACGTACCATGCAAAGCTTTGTTCTCCTTCTTCAGGTTCTCAAGAGCCTCCATGGTTTCCTCATATTTGCCCTTCAGCTTGTACAGCTCGTTGGCATAGGCACGGGCCTCCTTGGTAGATGTCTCCAGCTCAGCGCTGATCTCCTCACACTTGGTCTTCCACTCGGCGATCTGCTTGTCAATTAGACGCTGCCTCTTCTCCAGCTGAGCTGCCGCGGCATTGGCCCGCTCAACGTCGATCATGAGGTCCTCAACCTCACCAGCCAGCCTGTTCTTGGCCTTCTCCAGAGAGCTGCACTTGGCATTGGCGGCCTCCACCTGTTCCTCAGCATCCTGCAGGCGAGCAGCCAGCTTCTTCTTGGCATCCTCCAGCTCCTCAGCGCGCTGGATGGCGTCGGACTCGTACTTGGCACGCCAGGCAGTGACCTCTGTGTTGGCCTTGGACAGGGCACGCTGGATCTCAGCCTTGCCTTCCTGCTCCTCTTCCAGCTGTACCTTCAGAGTATCGCAGTCGTGCTGGGCAGCACGCAGCTGGTGAGCCAGGTGGTTCTTGGCCTTGGTCTCCTCCTCAAGCTGGCGCTTCAGCTCCTCGAGCTGCTGGTTCAGCATGCTCTTGGCGCGGGCCAGCATGCTGCACTGGCTCTCGGACTCCTCGAGCTGGCGGCTGATTTCATTATTCTCGGTCTCAAAGCGGGACTTCAGGGATGTCAGTTCCTGGATCAGCCTGGCGGACTCCTCGATCTTGACATTGGCCTCGGCGATCTGCTCCTCGAGGGTGCGGTTTGCCTTCTCCACGTTCAGCTTGCCCTTTGTGATGGCCTCGACGTTGGTAGCCAGATCGTCGACCTCCATCTTGAGGGTGGTCTTCTCCTTCTCCAGCTTAGCCTTGACGCGCTGTAGGTTCTCAACCTGCTCGCCCAGCTCAGCACTGGCGTCGGACAGCTTCTTCCTCAGAGCAGCGACGGTGGCCTCATGCTGCATGTTGGACTCCTCCAGTTCGCGGCGGAGTTTCTGCAGCTCGACTTCGCGCTTCTTGTTGACCTCAGCCTGGGCGGCGGTGGCGCCACCAGCCTCCTCCAGACGGTCTCCCAGGTCCTCGAGCTCGCGAGCCAGGTCAGCCCTTTGCTTATCGACCTTGGCACGGGCGTTCCTCTCGGCCTCGAGCTCCTGCTCAAGCTCCTCGATGCGGCCCTGGAGTTCCTTGATCTTCTTCTGCAGGGAAGTGACAAGAGCCTGCTCATCCTCCAGCTTAGCCTCAAGGCCCTTGATTTCGAACTCCTTCCTGTTTAAGCCAAGAAGAAATATTGGTGTCATTCCAACATCTTTTTGTTGCAATTTATTAATGTCTAATGTTTTCACGTTTCTAAAGGTTGGGATTTAAAAGAGCCATGTTTAGCATTAGCATTTCGTTTAGCTTTTAACAAGAAATCCTACTTCTTGATGCGCTCCTCCAGGTCGGCCTTCTCGTTCTCCAGGCCTCCCAAACTCTCCTGTGCGGCCTTCAGGTCACCTTCCAGCTTCCTCTTTAGCCTCTCGGCCTCGGCACGCGCCTTCTTCTCGCGATCCAGGTTCTCCTCCAGCTAAGATTATAACAAGGACGGTTATTAATCAGTTGGCAGAGCATGCACAGAAGCTGGCAAGGTAACATAGTTTGTGATCCTTTCGGCCGCTTCAGTACCGTAGTTTGCAAAGCGTCAATATTGGGTCATCACGACATCTACAGAAGCAAATAAATAACCATTGGAACGTAGTTCATTTTCACGAGGGTCAAGCTTGCATCCCAACTTACGTCATCCAGTTGCTGCTCGAGCTTGGCCTTGAGCTTGCTGAGGTTGTTGACCTTGTCCTCCTCCTTCTGCAGGTCCTCCAGGGTGGTCTGTAGGGGTGTTAAAACTAGTGTGAGGGTAGGTTGAAATTACACTATGGTAAAAAGCGATGTTAAAATGTCAAGTTGTTTCACACTTACAAGATTGGGGAAGTGGAATCTCATGGATAGTCTGTTAAAATGGAACCATGGAATTGGTCCATTGAACCCTGGAACTACTTCATGCTTTCCGGATTTGCTCGTTTACTGCACCTCGGTTATTACAACTTACGGCATTGAGCTGCTCCAGCTTAGCCTTCTCCTTGGACAGCTTGGCGATCTGGTCCTCCTGGGCTGCCAGCTCCTCGGAGGTGGTGCGAACCCTGTTCTCCACACCGCGAGTTTCCTTCTCCACCTTCTGCAGAGTCTTCTCCAGCTCCTCCAGGTCCTTCTTCAGGTTGTCCACCTCGCCTTCAATCTGCCAGGAAATAAAGATGTTACTATTATTTTAGAAATCCTACACATTTGATTTATTTTCATGCTTTCTCTAACTTGCTATGTGACATTTTAGTCCGTCGTGTTGATAATCTTTTCACGTCGTGGCATCGCGTAATCGGTCATGACATTTTACCTTACGCTTGCCAGCGCTGAGCGTCGAGTTCCTAGCTTCCTCGTCTTGAAGGAGACCCTTGTAGTCCACGATCTTCTGCTCCAAGTCCGCCTTGTTCTTGATAAGGTTCTCTGCCCTGTCGGCGATGTCACCCGTGTTGGTTTGTTCCTGTGGACAGAAGAACATCATTCTACATTACATAGCAGTTTTCAACAAACACAAATCACTATGTGGAGCTTTGTTAAAAATCAATCAAGAATATATATTTGAAAATAAATTTCCTCACCGCAGACAGTTGGCCGGCGAGCTCATTCTTCTCCTGTTCGACCACGGTGAGTTTCTGCTGAATCTCAGCCATCGTGGTTTCCTCCTTCTCCACTTCATCCTTGAGCTCGCCCAGCTCCTCTTCCTTGGCACGGAGCTCCTCATCTGCCCGGGACTGAGACAGCAGGGGCTTGATGGTGCAGAACAGCTTCCACCAGTCCCAGTTGCGCAGGTTCATCCAGTTACGGACGTTACGCTGCAGCATCTTCAGCGCAGCCCTGTTAGGTTAGACATGAAGTTATATGCTAGCCGAGATCTTGGTAGTTATATAAGATAAAGATATAATAGACAATTCAGACAACTGAAGCTATCTACTTCAAATTTTCAAGACATGTACAAATGACCCCTTACCTCTGGTCCTGGAGTACTTGATAAGCGATGCGCTGCAGTTTTCCTCTCAGACGCTGCTGGATGACAGTGATGATGACGGACAGCTTAGCGTCACGGATGTCCTCAAGCTTGGCGACCTGGCCGGCCTTGAAGAAGATCTTCGTTGTGCCGACACCGTACTGTTCCTTTGGCAAGCCTGACTTTTCCAAGAGCTTGACGCAGCATTCCCTGTCGTCTTCCACTTGCTTGGCCAGGACGGGGTCCACGGGCTTGTAGCGCTGTCTGAACTCCCTGTGATGTAAGATAGTCATGTTGATTATTACATGTAATTTCCTACGGAATTCTGTGCAACGAGAATGCACAATACCAAATGAGGGAAGCGATTATTTTCATGGAGCTGAGTTTCAGTTGAGGTGTTGTCCTCACAATCATTATGCATAAATACGTAGTAAAACTGCCTATGGATTTCATTTGTTTATGTAGATGGTTGAGGTATGGAGATTTGATGTCTTAGCAAGTGGAAATATGTAAAGAGAAAGAGATCGTACTTGAAGATCATCTTGTTGGGGAAGCCCTTCTGGCAGATACGGATACCCTCGAGTACACCGTTGCAAGTCAGCTGGTGCATAACCAAGGGGTTGTCCAGGAGACCAGGAGTCTTCAGCTCGTTGGGGATCAGACAACGCACGAAGTGGGGGTAGGTGGTGTGCAGAGTGGCCATCAGCCTAGCCAGCTGCTCCTGTTTGCCATGAATGCAATAGGAAATGTTTCATTCAAGTAGAATAAGTTGGAAACAAATTTTATAAAAATACGTTGAATTGAACATAACATAACAAAACAGGTATTAAATCAGGAGCTTATTTATGACTTGTTTACGCGGATATTAGAGAGTATGATTTTATGTAGTTTTTAAGTAAACGCAAGAATCAATTATTTCGACTCTATGATTCATGATTCACGCCTTACCCTGTGGGTTGCAGAGGCGGTTTGGAAGGCTCCACCCTTCTTGCCCTTTCCACCACCACCGGACTTCTTTTGGGCAGCAGCTACAGAATGGTTGGAATAACAGCATTAAAAGAGCAATTGATTCATATTTAATTCAATGTCATGTCTCTAATTCATATACAAAATGGGTAAACATCGGTAACTAACGGACCGGGTGCCATTGGAGCTTTTTGTTATAAGAATGAAAAGGAGTGTGTCACTTACAAAGTTAGGTTTGAGGACCAAGCGAATCAGGTTTTGCGTTTGTACGTTCAGTGACATTTGGTCAGATATGCTGCAATATGAGATACGCTCGATTCTCCATGTATTTCTCTATCACCTTCCTTTAGACCATAAGCGCGTCTGAGCTCCATAGAGTAGATAAAACAGGTACCAACCCTGGTCCTCAGCAGTCATGAAGTCAGCCCAGAGTTCCTTCAGGAGCTCGTTGGTGGCCTTCTTGAAGCAGCCGACCACAGTCTCGTTCATGGGGTCCTTGTTCTTCTCCAGCCAGCCGCAGATGTTGTATGTCACGTTGCCGGCGTAGTGAGCCAAATCGAAGTGACCCTCGTACTTGGGGATCTTGGGCTTCTTTGGCTTCAAGAAGCTGGTGTGCTTGCCCAAGTGCTGGTCACGCAGCTTGTCGATGAAGGTCTTGTCGCTGGACTTGGGGAACATAGTCTGCTCCTCCAGAATGGCCAGGATACCCAGGGGCTAGATAAAAGGAAATAAAATGTAGAAATGATACTATCATATCCTATGGTATCCTAAAAATGATACACATTGACAAATAAAACCGAGTTCATATCCCTGTAAAATGCAAACGGTCACTTCTTACCGCAATGCTATAAATTAGTCTGCCAAATCTATAGCTCACCTTCTCGATCAGAGCCAGGGTCTTGGCCAAGTCCATACCGAAGTCGATGGTCTCCCACTCGATTCCCTCCCTCTTGTACTCATCCTGCTCCTCCACGAACATGTGGTGGTTGAAGAACTGCTGCAGCTTCTCGTTGGTGTAATTGATGCACAGCTGATCAAAGCTGTTGAACTATGGAGATAGAATAACAGAATTAGTTATGGTTTAAACTACGGGTCCCTTTTTGTATGCAATTAACACGGCGTTCTTACATGCCGATGAAGTATTGTGCTGTTTTGTTTGTCAGATAATGCTTTCGATGAGAGGAATAAAATCCAAACACAGGAAGCAAGGTATGATATATATACCATTAGGTAAACTCACGTCGAAGATCTCGAAGCCGGCAATATCCAGCACACCAATGAAGTTCTCCCTCTTCATCTTGGTGTCCAGCGTGTCGTTACAACGCTTGACCAGGAACTTGAAGAGCCTGTCGAACACGCCCTTAGCCAGGGCACCGACGGCGTAGATGCACTGGTTGCAGTTCTGGCCCTTTGCCACCCACTCGTTGCCGACCTTTACCCTGGGCTTGAGCAGACCCTTCTGCAGATCACCACTGTTGACGCCGTACAGGAAAGAGAACTTGTCGGCGGCTGCAAAGGAGATCACATAACCATGAGTTTTTGGTTCAAGCTGTTTAACTAGAAGTAGAATAAAACCACACAGATAGAAACTCTATGGACTAGATTCAGTTTTCAGTAAGAATTGAACTTCCCAATAATCTACACGTGAACTCACACTCAGTGCCGTCGCATTCGGCTTGCTCCTCCCTTGGCTTGGCCTTGAACTTCATGTTACCGAAGTGGCACAGACCTCCCGTGAGCTTGTAGATGTCGGTCTTCTCGTCCTGGGTGAAGCCCAGCACGTCGAAGGCCTCGTCCGTCAACTGCATCTCCTCCTTGTCGTCCACGTTCTTGATGGTCTTCTCTCCCTTCTCCAAGAAGCGATACTCATGAGCATCGTCGCTGACCATGAGCATTTCTGGAAGATTAAGATACCAACAGTTTCATTCAAGCTGCCAGCAAAACGGTCATTGACCATAATTGCTAGTATTCTTTTCGTGATTTTGTTTTCAACTAGATAATCCCTGGTTTGTACCATAGAACACTGATCAGATGAGGTTGTACGAGATTTGGGCGCATGGCGCAACAAACAGACGAATAATTATGGTCATGGTGGCTGCTGAGAGCCAGGACCTCTAGTCAACTATGCCAATGTACTAAAGAAGATAAGTGCTACACGCCTACTTACTTGTGACGTCTTTCAAGCCACTTGACAGCAGCTGGTAGAAGATATGGTAGCCACGCTCCATACCGGGCAGCTGCTCAATCACACGCACCTTCTCCAGCAGATCTGGAGAAAGCAAAACGGTTCAAAACGTAGCAATGGCTAAGAAAATGCAGGATAAACTGCTAGTTTGATTCTCAAGATTGATGTTGAAATGAGATTTCAAATGTGTACGTGTAGAAGCAATACTCACAAGACTCAATGTCGGCACCAGCCAACTTGCCCTTTGTGTTGAAGTGGATCCTGATGAATTTACCCTGGAAGAGGACGATTTAATTAGCTACACAAATCGTCTGTATTTTTTCTCATTCCTATATTGATCTAGGGACAACTGAAAAGCCCTTGTGTTTGTTGTTACCTACTATTAATGATGTTGTCACAAATAATCTAAGAGAAATAAGCAACGAAAGTGGCTGGGTATTGCTTACAAAACGGGAGAAAACCCAGAAAAGGATGAAATATGTCTTACAAAACGGGAGGAGTTGTTGTTCCTGACAGTCTTGGCGTTACCGAAGGACTCCAGTACAGGGTTAGTCTGCACGATCTGGTCCTCAAGGGTGATCTTCTTCTCTTCTTCGACCTTCTTGGGACCGCCAATGGCAGCGACCAGGGCGAAGTAGGAGATAACCTTCTTCGTGTTCTCAGTCTTACCGGCACCAGACTCGCCGCTGTAGTCAAACAGTAGATAATTTGTATCTTTCTTCCAACATTAGACGTCGTTGTTGATAATAGATTCTATGCAAGATTTATTTCATCAAAGGTTTCAGCATTCAGCGTTCAGTCAATGATCTTAATGTATTGCGATTCTTCTTGCAACTTTTCTATTGGCCACTGTTTTGAGGCTTCATAACTTGACTAACCGAAATGGTAGTATTTCAAACGGTAACAGATATTGCATGTTAAAAGAAGCCGTACTTACGTGATCAACATAGACTGGTTCACCTTGTCTGCGAAGAGAAACGAATACTTTAGAGGCCACACTTCTTGCTTGCTTTATTGCAAGATAGAAATTAAGGACTTGCGTTGGATTGTAATTTGATATAATTCCATATAATGATGTTTAAGAATACAATATGTTGCACATACCGATCAGCATGTTCTGGTAGGCATTGTCAGCCACAGAGAACAAGTGAGGCGGCATTTCCTGACGCCTCTTGCCACGGTACATGGACACAACCTCCTCCGTGTAGAGAGGGAGGCGCCTGAAGGGGTTGATCACGACGCAGAACAACCCGGAGTAGGTCTGGAGTAGTTGAGGCAACAACAGCATTAGGCGCAGGTGAATAGCTAATGGCCATACGTATTAGACTTGCGAGACAGTATTTAGAACATTTATTGAACTTTTGTGTATAGGGTTCGAGGAATATGTCGGTTGGACGCAGACTATAAAACATACAGGCGATTAGAATTCCTGTGATAACAAATAGATCAGAGTGGCTCTAAAGGAACAAAATCTATTAGCACAAGCTCCTAAATGGTAAGGTAAGATGAAACTGTTCCAAATGATAGGCCAATAAAGCATGTTTTTGTTTGTTTTCATAGTCATCTGTTTGTCGTGCCAGATTACACAGAAAAAAGCTCTCGTCTATTTCTGTCCTGTGCATGGCCAACTTGATGGAGTGCCGCCATGTGTCCGATGGCACCATCAGGTCATGACTGGAATGCCCTAGAGGTTATTCCTGTCACAGAATGTCAGCCGCATTCTTTTCTTTCTGTCTGCCTGTCGTCTGCCTGGCTGGTGTCAATCCATGCCAACTGCTCATTCGTTTGCGAGTTTGTTAAAGAATGATATTTTAGAACTGCAGTGGTGAAATGGATTATTTAGACAGCAATTGTCATTTTTGCTCCTTTATCTTCGTCTCATGTAGTTACCTAACCGTTTTGTCTTTTTGATGCCGTTTTGTCTTTTTGGCAAAAATGGTCTCAATTGAAATTCAACGTTTTCGTACTTTTAATGGCTCACAACTCTGAAGTTGTCGCTCAAAACTCTGAAGTTGATGTCACTACTTACGTAGATCATGCCATTAGCATAACGGTCCCTGAGGGTCGCCAGCACAGAGGCGTCGTTCAGGAAGGTCATGTTGGCCATGTCCTCGCAGCAGACGAACTTGGGAGGGTTCATCATCACTATCTTGTCCTTGGCAACTTCCTTGGTCTATAGAAAATATAAAAGAAAGAGTCCAATGTTGTTAGCGTTATCTGTATTTTCTACAACAAAGCCAGAAAGCAGAGAAGCAACTAGGAAGGAAACTAAATAGAGCTTATTGGCAAGCATCTGTATCTGTATAGCCGGTATAACCGGCACGCGGCGCGGCGGCAGCTAGCTATATTACACCGAATATAACATAGTCTTCTTCCTTGTCAATTGTTACGGGTATCATTTAGCCTTTTTTGCTATTTTTGTTTTCCTTTCTGTTTTATAGTTAAATACATTAATACACACAGGAGAAGTGGACAAGACGTTTGAAAATTAAAATTGGAAAAAAATTCAAGTTTGCATTCATATTACTGTCCTTGATTTTAAAGGTGTCGTCAAATGCCCCGTTTGGTCTCGGGTTAGGCCCCGCTATTTTGGGGTTACTAGTAATTCGGCCCTCAGCAGAAATAATGAAAATGATATGGTCAGGAATAATGTCTGGCATTTGGCCTTGTCTTTGGCCCCTTTGTCTTGACTTTCGCATGTCAGATTTCAAGTAGTCACTTTTGTCACTTACAAAGTAGGGGTTTTAGTCATAAAGCTGTTTCTTTTTAGCACCTTTGTATGTCTGTGAGTTACTTTGGATGATCAAGCATCAAATGTCTCTAATCTAGGCCAAGTCTATGTTGAAGTACATGTACACGCATTATTGCCAGGATTTCACATAGGGCCGAATACGAGTTTATACTTACTTGTCCCTTTGGCAACTGAACCGTGATCTTATCGCCCTTCTCTTCCTTGATCTCCACAGCGATGAAGACATCCTTATCATCGGGAGCCCAGACGTTCTTCTTCGGATCGTAAGGCGCGGAGCGGAGCTCCATCAGCAACTTGGTGTCACCGAAGATGTAGACCCGAGGGTCGT